TCAGACAGACAGGGTCCTTCCGCAGACATTTCTACTGTGGGTTCATTGTAAGGCCGCCAGAAATGATCATCGTTCAGTCTCTGGCTGACCATTGTCCCCGTACCCTGCCCCCCCACACGAGACATCACACCCTGACTTACAGTTCAGCCTTCCTTCAGCTGACCTCCTCTCCTACAGGCTTCTTCCTGCCTCTTCCAGCTTCCTGCCATCGTGTGACTATCACTCGTTTGCTTGTCCCGTGCGGTTGCCCAGCCCATGAGTCCTACTCCTAATTCAGCTTCCTCTAAGAGCTGGGATGGCAGCATGGCTAGGCATGGAAGCTTTTGGACTCATACAGACTGAGTCAAATCCTGTCCCTTCTGTTCTAACAGCTGCGTGAACTTGGATCAAATGATCTTAACAAGCGCTCGGTCTTGGATGAGTGAATGATCGAGAATCTCTGTGAGCGTTTTTGTCTTAACTGGAATAATGCGGCTTCACCGTGAGCATGGGGCAGACAGTGCTGGTTTAAACCCAGTGACGGCTACATAATCCTGCTTCGAAAGGCTCCGTGCCACACGAATGCCGACAGGGGAGGCACAGAGAGCTGCGGAATCTCAGGTTTAGAAAGTGTGATGAGAGCAGGGATTTCTTCCAAGAAGAACTGTCGAATGACCAACCTGAGACAGCTCCTATTCTTAGGGCAGAACGATTACTCCCTCCTGCACCTTGTTTCCCTGGGGAAGACCTTCTCAGCAGTGACTCTCGCTCTCCCTCCCATCTTCCCGCGGTTCTCCGCAGGAAGAGGTGGGACTTACCCCACCTGGACCGGTTCTGATATGTCTCTGCCTGAGGGTCGCTACCTCTTGAAGAGCATGGGTCACTCCCTGCCCCACACCCCTTCTGCCAGCTTCGAAGCCTTCTGGTCAAGACCTTATGAAGTGGCTTTATAACTTCTGGTCCAGATTCTTTCCTGTACTTTTAACCTCCGCCCCCATCCCTTGTTGGCATTGGAAGTGGAAAGCCAGCCTTGGCTCCCAGTCTCCGATGCCTGCTGGGAGGCGGACGCGGTCAGTTTGGGGCTGGGCTGGGGCTCCCTGAGCCCACCTGACCCTCTTTCTGCTGAGCCAGGTCCAATGCTGAGCAGACTGTGACCGACAACCCCCAAGATGTGTGCTTTTATGGAAACATGTGACGATAAGGTCGGGGTGGGGGGGTTCTTCTTCCCGAGTGAAAAAATGTGCAGCAAAAGTTTGGTGGCCCCATCAAAAGTTCAAGGCTTGGGCCCTTGAACTGGTGTCAAACAGACATGCTGCATCTTAACCGCCCAGCAGAGTGGGCGCCAGTCACTCTGGAGACACAAAGGCACCGGACAAGGGCATGTGAGGGATTCCAGCACCTCTGTAACATTTAACTCCCAAATGTGCTCCTCCCCTTAAGACTAAGTGACACCAGCTAAGCGTCGACCTCCGTGCCATCCCGCATTTCAGACGCTTTCCCTGCCCTTCCACGTATGTGCAGAAGTCAGTTCATCATTCTGCAGAACCCAAATTGTGTAGAACTGAAAAAGACCTAAGCAGCCAAGCGGTCCATCTACCAAATTCTGCTAAATGCCTGGTGAATAGCCACGTGGCCCACACCTAAGCGCACTCACATCCAGGATCTCCCGGGCAAAGGTCAGTTATTCCATACGGAGCTTCGTAACTGTTACAAAGTTCTTCCTTGAGTTCGGCCAATGGGCATCCCTGCTGAGGCCAGATGGCTACCTTTCTGGTGGCTCGTGCTGGCGGGAGATAAGTCCTCTCTTCTTCTCACCTTCGGGGTACTTCATGGAACCCCGCACGCTCCCAAATCTCCGCTAAGACTTCATGTTTGCTCCCAGTCCGAGGCCCTCGCCACGTCTCGGGGTGTTCAGGGCGAGGCGCCGGGTCAGTGCCGATGCAGGTACACACGGCACCTCCCCACACTGCTGCAGCACCCCCCACCTGGAGGGGCTCGCCTCGGGCGGCAGGTGCAGGGCTGACGGCTGACGCTCGGGCGTGGGAAGGGGACGGCAGATAGGAAGAGCACGGACGCTGCTCGGGCCACAAATGGACCTTTAACTGTGGAAAGAGAATAGTGTCGTTTTCCAAAAATCTGGCTTAATTAGAGCCTCGTCACTCCGCCCAAGCAGAAGTTCTGGGATGACCCATCGGAGGGGGAAAAAAAAATACTTTGAATCACTCGGTGGTATGTCAGGGTGTTCCTTTTCTTAACCTTGGTTTTAAAGATCTTGTTAAAATGTGTTCACGTCAAATGAGAAGAAAGTCGGATCTAGAAATCAAATATTAAAAATAACTAGGATCTCTCGATCAGAGAGCAGCTGTTTGCAAAGCATCATCCCCAGACCAGCAGCGTCAGCCTCACCTGAGACCCCTGTTAGCGATGCAAATTCTCAGACCCTGCCAGACCTCCAGAGGCAGAAACGCGGGGGTGGCCCCAGCCACCGGCTCTGACAAGCCGCACAGGTGAGTCTGATACCTGCTGAAGTTTGAGAACCACCGCGGGGGGAGTGGGGTAGGGGGACACAAACCACGATCTGTGTCCAGGTGTGGAAAGTCCAGCTTGAAATCTCCATCCCATAAAGCCTTTTCTGTGGCCACGTGAAAATGCACCGTTAGGAAAACCAATCCACTCTGGACGTGGTGTCCTGAGCTGTGCCCCTCAGAGCAGCTGCCCCCACCACCGTGAACCGGTCCCTGTGTGTATTAGTCATGAACTGCTGGGTAACGAATGACCACAGACTCCCCAGTGAGAAACACACACTATCTCGCGGTTTCCGTGGGCCTCGTGTCCAGACAGAACGGCACCGAGTCCTCCGCTCAGGGTATTCCCAGGCCGAAATCTGGAGTCACTCAGGACTGCCATCTCGCCTGAGACCGTGCGGGGGTCGTGAGTGCACTTCGGGCCAGCGGAGGGGCGGGAGGACCAGGGTGACGAAAGGTTCCCCATGGAACTGGGCATGGGAACCGGAGCACGCTGCGGAGTGGGCCGACAGGAGCAGAGAGGTAGTGTTCTTTGAAGAAGTGATTTGAGAAAGATTCCCTGGGAACGACCGGGCATCGTCATGTTATGCAAAGTGATCACGCTTGTCACAAAGCCCGCGAGTAGCCGGGATGCGGCGTGATGGGAACCTAACTGAAAACATCTGTTCCACTGGAATACGGTCGCCATATCTTGGTTTTATTATTTTGCTCATGGTGCAACCTTGAAAAAGTGGAATCGAGTGATTATCCGAGTACATCTGTATTTTTATGCAGAATGTAGGCATGACCTGACTTCACATTCCAAAATAAAAATGACTGATCTTTTCCATTAGAACCGTGTGGGTCACCCCAGCTGGCAGCTTTTATGCTTTTCTTTAATTTACTTTTTCCCCCTGAGGAGGTAGAGGCACTCTGTGGGCCTTTGCCAAGCTGCTGGAAAGTTACCGATGGTGAGGCTTCTTTTAATCCGAGTCATGCAGAGTGTCTGAAGCTCTGGGACTCAGCCCCTCCTGGCTTTGAAGACCGCTGCCAAAATACCCACAGCACCGAGGTTTGGCGACCTCGCTTAATCATAGCGAAAGGATTACGAAGTGCAAAACGAGCCCCCAGATGGCTGTGAAGTGGGCCGATTCGGAACCCGACTCAGGCTGAGACGCTGCTCAGGTCTGCTCCGTCTCACGTGGCTTTGTGTCTCACCTCTCGAATGGCCATCCCCTTGGCCAAGACCAGCAGCATTTGTGATGCACAGAAGAGAAAAAAATGTCAGGGAAACTGACTTTAGGTCATAGAAATAAAGTGTCTGGTAATTCGTCAGGCTCAGGGCTGGCGAGCCCCTCCCCACCCCCGCCACCCCATTATCCTGCTGTGGGAGGTCAGGACCACAGTCCACCTGTAAGAGCCTCTGAAAGACCAGGCCAGTGGATGGTTCAGTCCCTCGTGTCTTTAAAGTGAGGAACTGCAGCTGTCCATGATGCTTTATGTACCAACAATAATACACTCTGCACTAACAGCAGCAGCTTGCTCACCATGCGACATGGTGTGTGGGCACAGCAGGAAGGAAGGGTGATGTGCGACCGGGTGCTGACCTGGAATGTCTCAACTACTGCCGCAGCTTCAGAGGCCTCGTCCCATGCCAGGCATAAGTCTGAAGGCCCCAGTGTGCAACTTCCAGAAGCGGAAGGCCTGAGGGAGAGTGGGCAGGGAGGACCCCGAGGGACCGGCGCTGTTTCGGTGCCAGACATCCTTCTGCTTGGCCCTCACGTGGACAAAATAAAATGATAACACAAAACCCACCACATTCAGCACAAATTTCTATTAGGCAACTTTAGTCACTAAAATGTGCAAATGCAGACTCCTGTGTAGATCTGATCTGCCACACTAGGCCAAGCTTATTTTATTACATACATTCTGCATTCTAAGAACTAATAACTTCATATTGTAAACATTAAGCATACAGAGTTAAAATTCAAGGCCACATTGTATCATTGATTGTCTCTTTTGTCGTGTATCTTTGGCTGGCCGAGATCAACTCGTAGTGTATAAATGCATAAGTTATATAATTATTATATAAAAAGGGGGGGAAAAAAACCACATGGACTTGGATACTTCATTCTGACAAACGCACAGCGTTCGCGACTCAAAAGGAACACTGGAGCCCGCGGAACCCAAACCCCGAGGTGACATCGGATCGTGGCAGCCCAGAAGGCCGTCTCTTACCTGACCCCGTGGGGAACAGAGCCCCCACAAAATGACAAAGTCCCGAACGTTTCTTTTAAATATCGGACAATTCCAGTTAAAATTTTCTTTTGACAAACAAACAAACAAACAAAAAAAGAGATGCATGTTTTTGTGTCTGAATTCTACCACGTCCCCTCCCTCCACTCCGCCGTGTCCTTCCCGGTAACGCCAGATTGGGCGTTAACGCTGACTGCGTTCGACCTCACTCGGGTCCCACGACGCGGCCCCCGCGGCCCCCATCCTGCCCGGTCCTCACATCTCCTCCTCTGCTCCCTCCTCCGGCCCTCGGCCGACCACCTCTCGCTCACTCTCTACGCACGTTCTCAGTCCCACCATCCGGCTCCTGGTTCCTGTGACACTGTGAGGGGTTGGGAACTTTGGGTCATCTGCGCGGTCTCAGAGAGCTGACAGTTCTCCATCCCACAGATGGCCTGGATTTCACACAAAACGGCAGACGCCGATGAGTTCCGTATCAATGCCTGTTGCACAGTCTCGTCTTTCTTTTTTTTCTTTTTTCTTTCTTTTTTTTTTTTTTTGATATGTTTCTCTTTTTCAATACAGGTAGTTTTCCTTAAAATGGCATTCTAAACGGTATGTTAGGTGTCAAGACTGTGTTTTCTGTATTGCTTCAGTTTAATCCCAAACTCTAACGCTAGAGTGCATACACTTCGTTAAGACCACTTTCTTTGGCACTTTGTCCTTATCACTTCATACTCCTACTTACAATGTCTTTTACAAGGTTGGTCCACACATGAAATGTCCATATCCATTACATGTTGAGCATCCTCTCCATTTCTGTCGTAATAGTTCAGTAATTCCCTCCCGCTAAGCGTCTTTGGATTTCTTCCCTGGCTTCCTTCCCCAGCCCCAGTCATGTTTTTTTTCCATTCCCCTCGAGGCACTTTTGATCTCTGTTCTCCAATAGAGTTTGTGGCAATTTATCGGTGAGTGTACGTTGTTGGGAAAGGCCTCTCCTGGATCTTTAGTAGTAAGTGCCCAGATGGGAAGGCATATGGCTGGCCGGAAGCCTGGTGTTAGGGTATATTCCTCCGGTGGGTGAATTCCAGTACGGGTTGGGGGCGGCAAAAAAACTGGACGATGTCACAGGTAGGGCGGGAGGGTGGGGAGCCACAAAGTTCATCTTCTGTGGGTGGGCATGGTAGGAGCCCATGTACGGGAGGTCCGAGGGGTACTTGTAGAGGGACGACTCTGGAGGGTGGGGCTGGAGGGCCTGGGCGATGCCGTGGAAGTCGAACTTGTAGGCGTAGCGCTTCCCGTGGACTTTGGTCATGATGTTTTTGTCGTAGTAGTAGCGGAGGGCGCGGCTGAGTTTATCGTAGTTCATGTTGGGTTTGCTTTTCCGCTCTCCCCAACGCCGGGCCACCTCATCGGGATCTGTCATCTTGAATTCCCCGTTGGTGCCTTCCCAGGTGATGCAGTTGGAGTTTGAGCTGTCAGACAGGAGCTCCAGGAGAAACTGCCACAGCTGGATCTGCCCGCTCCCTAATGAGGAGGAAAGGACACAGGGCACCCGTGAGAACACGTTCTTTCCTCAGTGACAGAGCTGGGTGCTCTGGGTGTCCTGCTCAGCTCCCCTTTGCCAGCCTGAGCGCCTACCCCTCAGCCGCCTAGGGCGCCGGCTGCTCTTGTCCGTCAGCCTTCCTCCGGTTCTCCAGGAACCGCCCTTGGCTGGTCAGGAGCTGCCTCACCCACCCCAAATAGCCCACGGCCAGACGGACTGGCAGAGGGTACCGGTGACTGGCCCCCTTGCTTCAAGCAGGTACCAACTCTGTGATGCTGTCCCCTCGGGATCAGACCGTCCTGCTTCCTCATCCCCTCTCTCCTGTGAACATACCCTTAGCTGCCCACTTGCGCAAGCACCGTTATCCCAAACTCTGCGTCTTGGGGACCTGACCTAAGGTGATGATCCCTGGTACCTCCTAGGCCGATCCAGAGACTCAAGCCCTTTACAAAATGCAAAGAATTCATATGGGGCACATTTGCTTCCATCCGTTTCTGACTTCCTCAGAAGGACGGCCAGGTCAACGTTTGGGGAGACGGAAGGGCTTATTTTTCCTATTTTGTGAGGCAAAGTGTGCCATTATTTTGATGGCAACAATGACTTAATACCATTTATGTTGGCTAGGTCAAGCGAAATAATAAAAGTCAGATTTAGGAAATGAACTTCTAAAAAGTTAATGGAAAAAAATAGAGAATGGAAGTAAACACCGTTATTTCTAACATAACAGTTTGCTGGCACTCAGAAGGTGATCCTGTCAAAACTTTTCCTAGAACAGAATTAACCCACTCCAAATGAGGAAGTGTAGAAAAAAGCTGGCTCTCTTTCAACCCAAATCTCCTATTTCCAGTATCTGGGCAAACTCATCGTCAGGGAAATCCCTGTCTTGCCCCTGAGCTACAATGCCAACTGTGTTCGGAAGTTTCCAGAAGAAAACGTGTAACAATGAGTGTCTGTGAGGCCCTGTGGCAGGCAGAAAACACCCGACTCAGTCCAGGGGAGCTCGCTGAACGGGGTGTGCACCTCCAGAATTTTCCTGATCCCATCGGAGGCACATAGATGTGGCTTTTATGTTTTATTAAATTCAGAGGTAAATCAAGCCACTCTGCTACAGCACTCGAAAATGACACGTGGCTCCCTCAAGAAGAGAAGTGTGTAAATAGTGGGAACAGTGAGTACCAGGAGAGGCTAAGCTGTGTCCAACAGACCTCAGGCGCTCTAAAAATGGGTAACGGGCGGGTCTTACCGCCTGGATGTCAGCTCCAGCGCTGCCTCAGGCTCATTATCAAAGAGATCGCCTTTTATTATACTATCAGTACGAATCAACAGATGTGATAAAATGATTAAAGTAACCTTAACTGCAACTATTCAGAGGACTGATGTAATGGAAAAATCAATTATAAATTTGTTTTTCACTAAATCCTCACCGTTAGCTCCCTAGTATATAAATGATAAATTGTCTAACTCCTGAATCCTCGTTTCCATGTTGGATCCATGGAAATGAGTGTGTTTGTGAATTCATCCATACAATAGCATCGTGAGAAAGGTCAGCCTTTGCCGAATATGTTCTGGAAAATTATCATTTTCTGTCTAGCAACACATTTGAAATGTATTAACAGCTTGTAGTTCGTCACGATGGAGGCCTTCGCTTTTCGGGACTACGTATTCAAACTGTTCTCAATCAATTTTTGCTGCCCCCAACGTTTCATTAATATGCATTTTAAAAAACACGAAGAATGGTATGAGAGAACCATATGGTTTTAGTATATATATTGTAACCAACGAATAAATACTTGAAAAAAATTCCACATATGACCTGGGAATAGAGAAAAACATGGATTTTTGATTTATCGGTCAAACATATGCATCGATACAAACACGCAGAATTGTTTAAAAATATTCATCGTCACTTTCCTCTCATAGAGAGAGCAATTTCACGGACTTTGTATAAATACACAGACCTTCCTGAACAGACCGAATAATACTCAGTGTTTCGTCAAACCTTGGCATTGCCTCTTAGGAATTTGTCCCTGGGCCATTTCCTTTATAAATGTGTGTGACAGAAAAAGAGTAGACAAAAGCAGCCTCATCTCTCTCTGGCTTCTGAAGAACTAAGAAGTCGGGAACCTAAATCCATGGCTAGAAACTCAAAGCTCAAAGCACCAATGAACATTTCTCACTCGACCATTTTATCCATTAGCCTGTGAGACACGGGACTCAGGCCTCTGAGCGTTCCCAGCGTCTCTGGGCATGAGAGATCCGTAAACGAAATTCATCAGCTTCTAAATCTGAGGACACATCGTAAATGTAAAATCAATTAATGTTTATAAAATAGAACATTATGTCTGTGGGGTCAGCCTTCCAGCAGCTTCTCCATTACAGTCACGGCCAGTCCTCACAGCCAATCAGCTGAGGGTCAGGTCCTCTCATTGACATGCCAACATTAATCAAGGATCAAATACAATAGGGGGCACACGCAATCCACACGAGGGACACACCTGGAGCTCAGGTAACCAGGTAGACTATGCCGCTGGGCTCCAAAGGACACCTACTACATAAGGCCACTCTACCAAGGCTGGGAGACACAGTAGCCCTACCTAATACACAGAAACAAACACAGGGAGGCAGCCGAGATGGGAGACAGAGCAACATGTCCCACATGAAAGAACAGAACGAAGCTCCAGAAAAAGAACTAAACAAAATGGAGACAGGCGATCTCCCGGATGCAGAGTTCGCAACACTGGTTATCAGGATGCTCAGTGATCTCAGTGAGAACTTCAACCAAGTGACAAAAAACACAAACATGGAGATAGAAACCACGAAAAAGAATCGGTCGGAAATGAAGAATACATTAATTGAAATAAAGACTACATTAGATGGAATCAATAGTAGATCAGATGAAGCAGAGGATCAAATCAAAGATTTGGAAGAGAAGGTAGCAGGAAATACCCAATCAGAACAGCAAAAAGAAAAAAGGATCCCCCCAAAATGAGGATAGTCTAAGGGGCCAGTGAGACAACATCAAGCATACCAACATTCACATCATAGGGGCGCCCGAAGGAGAAGAGAGAGAGCAAGGAATTGAGAATCTATTGGAAGAAATAATGACAGAAAACTTCCCTAACCTGGCAAAGGAAACAGACATACAAGTCTAAGACGCACAGAGAGTCCCAAACAAGATGAACACAAAGAAGCCCACACCAAGACACGTCATAATGGAAATGCCAAAGCTTAAAGACAAAGAGAGAATCTTAAAAGCAGCAAGAGAAAGGCAGCTAGTTAGTTACCCACAGGGAGCTTCCATAAACCATCAGGCGATTTCTCAACAGAAACTTTGCAGGACAGAAGGGATCGGCAGAAAATATGCCACGTGATGAAAACCAAGCAACTACATCCAAGATTACTCTACCCAGCAAGGCTGTCATTTCGAATCGAAGGACAGGTAAACAATCTCCCAGACAGGAAAAAACTAAAGGAGTTCATCGCCGGCAAGCCAGAATCACAAGAAATGCTGAATGAAGAAAGAGAATGAGGGGGAGGAGGGGAAGAAAAGATAAAAAATATAAATAATAAAATGGCAATCACTGTAGACCTATCGATAATTACTTTAAATGTAAGTGCATTAAATTCTCCAAACAAAAGACACAGGGTGGCTGAATGGGTAAGAAAACAAGACCCACGTGGCCACGGAGAGATGAATGGATAAAGAGGTGGCACATAGACGATGAAATCTTGCCATCTGCAGCAACGTGGGTGGTCCTAGAGGGCAGAGCGTGTAAGTCAGACAGAGAAAGACAGAAACCACATGATTTCACTTACACGTGGACTCTAAAGAACAAAATAAACAAACAGACAAAACGGAAACAAACTCATAGACACGTGATGGGAGGGGAGTTGGGAGTGAGTGAAAAAGGAACAAACAGACAAAACGGAAACAAACTCATAGACACATTGTGATGGGAGGGGAGTTGGGAGTGAGTGAAAAAGGGGAAGGGAGTGAGAAGTATAAATTGGCAGTTACAAAATAGTCACAGGGATGTAAAGTACAGCAGAGGGAATATAGTCAATAATATTGTAATAACCGTGTGTTGCAAGGGGGTATTAGACTTAGGGGGACAATCACTTTGTAAGGTATATAAATGTCTAATCACTATGCCGAATACATGGAACTAATATAAAAATAAAAATAAAAAATTATCAAAAAGAAAAAAACAAAGTAGACAGATTTTTCCAGTTCGTTTTGATAAATAAGACATCTTTGGACCTATTTTAATAAATCCATTGTTAAGTGTACTGTTACAAAAGGTAACATTATGTCAAGCTTATTGTTAAAGCTTAACATTCATCACAAAATCTGTCGTATTCTCAGTATAAAGATTTTCTCACTGCAGAATTCTCAGGGATGCACCATGGTTGCTGAGAAATCACGATCAACGGTAAATGAAATGACTTACTCACGGCCACAGAATTTCAAGAGCAATCTACTGAATTCTTGTTTTACTGTCAAAACAGTATCATTTACTGTGCAATAAAGGTGCATTTTAGAATACGGGACCAGGGCTTCCAAAACAAGAACACCTAAGGTTTCGGAAGCCTACGAATGGCCTGAGTCGCTTACTGGCCAAACCGACCAGCACAGGAGACACTTACGAGACAGGATCTCCGCCCGACCAGCATCGCCAGCTCCACCTCATGAACCACCTCCTTCAGTAAAACCCTTCGCGCCTCGTTTTCTCCCTTGATGACAACCTGGCAGCACTGGCGAGGGGCAGCTCGCTAGGTCCCCGTTTTGTCTAGGGTCGGGCAGTGGGGGAGATCAAAGATGCGGGCGGCCTGCCTAGGGAGAGCCCAGTGGGATGAAGGGGACTGAGGCGAGGCCTGGAAGAGGGTGAAAGGCAGACTTTGAATTTTTCAGAGGCAAGTGGTCTCCTCATGCGATCACAGAAGAGAAACAAGGTAGCAGAGAGGTGCAGACTGAGCAAAAAAGGGCAAAACATCTAAACGGTTTATAAACCCCAGAGAAAAGCGGGGCTGGGAGGGACGTGGCAGCTGTGGGTGAAGCAGGAGGCACATCCCAGGGCGAGACGCTGTGGTGCCAGCTGACACAGGGACAAAGTAGTAAAGGGGAGAGAGGGGCCCAGCAAGCAGCACAGTGGCAGTCATTTGGGGCCACTTCCTACAGTGGCTGGGGGTGAGGCAGTAAAACCTGCGCGCACAGCCTGTAGCCTCCAGCAGTGAGGATCAAGGCAGCAGGCATGTGTCTGGTGGCAGGCTCTGCCGGGCTGCGTGTGGCTCAGACAGGACTTGTTGGAGGGCAGGGCGTATGGTGGCTGGAAGCTCTACTGTGGTATTAGGACTTCCTTGGCTGCTTCCTGGCTCTGCCACGTATGGCGCCCTGGGCGGCTCCCCCAGCTCTCTGTGTCTCGTTGAACTTATCTGCAAAATGGGGGTGATGGGAAGGACACGATCCTGCAGCGTCACTGTGAGGATGAACTCAGCAGGTGAACGCTCTGACCATGATCGGTTTGGGCTGAAAACCCGAGTTTAAAGCAGGATCCGTGCCTGGCCCAGAGCTGGGCGATAGTCACTGAAAGCTTACTACGTGCCAGACCCTGTTCTCAACGCTTGACATGCGTTTATTGAGTCCCTACCACCTCCACCCCCAGCCCCCAAGGATCATGTGATCGCTCATCGTAGAGATGAGAAAATTGGAGCCCGGAGAGGTAGGGTGACGAACCCTGCCCAAGGCCAGTGAGGGCTGGAACCCTGCTCCAGGCTTTGACCCTGAGTCACTGCCTGAACCGCCGCGTTCCGGCCTGGTTCTACGCACACCTCCACGGTCCTCTCAGGTCCTTCCCAGGGTGTCCCCTCGCTGGGCCCGGAGCTTGGTAGGTCCCCAGGGGAAGACTGGACATGCCTACCTTCTAACAAAGAGCAAAATATCCCTTCTAACAAAGAGCAAAATATCCCTAAAAATTCCCAGGGGAAGACTGGACATGCCTACCTCCTAATAAAGTGAGTCACTGCCTGAACCGCCGCGTTCCGGCCTGGTGCTACGCACACCTCCACAGTCCTCTCAGGTCCTTCCCAGGTTGTCCCCTCGCTGGGCCTGGAGCTTGGTAGGTTCCCAGGGGAAGACTGGACATGCCTACCTTCTAATAAAAAGCAAAAAACCACTGGGCTGTGGTTTTGCAGGAAGCAGGATGCGTTTTCATGCCCACCATGCAAGACAATGCAGTTAGCATCAAGGGAGCCACTGCAAACATCTGAGAAAGGTCTTTCATGGAAAGGTGATTTTGGTTCATTTGAGGAGCCACGTGAAATGCTCAGCCATTCTGACGGGACGGACATAAAGGAGCTGCGTCGCTTGTATAGGATCCACGACATAATGTCACAGGGACATGCTTTTCTCAGAAGGAGAAATGCCAGGTGGATATCTGGGAGGGAGGTGTCTAGATGCCGCGTTCACACTGCACGCGGTCACCTTTCCATTTAAAGTGATCAAAAAGAATTTGCTTTGTGTAAAGAGCAGAAGCAGCAATTTTAAACGATGATTTATTGATCAGAGAACAGAATAATAGAATCAAACGGGAAGAAGCATTCTCACGAATAGAAAGATAAGACATTCTGGTATCGGGGCAAAGGCCATGCGAACACACCCACGTGGCCTAAGGATGGACGGGGAGAAGGCCTGATTCATTACACACCACGTGAGGTAAATCTGTGTTTTCAGAGAAGAAGCGGATGCTGCCACTTTCCCCAGGCCCACGGAGAGGGTGTCAGTAGCAGAGGGCTGTCCTTCCCTCACGGCGTGAGGGTTGCTGACCCACTAGGTACTGAGATGTTCTTGCAGGCTGGCGATGGTTTACAGTCTCCTTGGGCCCTACCCCAGGTCCCTCTAGCCACAGCGGGCATCCTCAGCTGCTGGGCACAACAGATGCTCTGCCTTGGGCCCAGCCACTCTCTTCGACCCCATTGTCCAACCAAGCCACACCTCTGAGCTGTGACAATATGGCGTGGACATGTATTTCATTAGCTAGCTTGTGTGAGTGCAAAGGCCAGTTTGGTCTTGTTTGGCACACCTGACACCTTCCTCCCCTTCCTCCCTGCCCTCAGACCCAGCCTACGCACCTGAACAGTTGTTAAAATGAACAGCAAGCCCTTCCTTTCTTTTCCCTTGGGCCCCATCCTCCAAGACCTCCCTCTTCCCCCGTGCTCACGCAGGGGCAGTTTAGGGAAAGTGAATGAAAACAGACTTTGCAGGCAGAGAAGCAGGGTTCACATCTGGCCTCCCTTCTTATTGGCTGTGTGGCCCAGGAAAAGTTATCTAATTTCTCAGGACCTCCGATTCCTCTTCTGTAGGATCATGGTCTCCTGGGGCCGCTATGACACAGGACCACAGACATAGCGCTTGGCCAGGCATTACATGGGGTGGGAGCTACCTGAGCGTGATCTCACACTACCGTATTGATGTTCCCAGAGCGTTTCAGCCTCCATGCTTCTCTTTCTAATCTGTCCTGAACGTCACTGCCAGACCAGTGGTCCTGAAGCAGGACTGATGATCATCGTCTCAAAACACAGTAAACACTTTTATTTGAATGATTATGGAGGCCGCTGCACATGGAAAGCTGACCACAGGCGTGAGGAGGGACCACAGACCCAGGAGACATGGCCACCAGGTGGATCTCATGTGAGAGAGAAGAAACTGGCTAAGTAGTTTAGACAGAGTTGTAATTACCTACATCCATTTGTCCACCAAAATGTAAGCTACTTGAGAGTCACAGGTGGTGTCTTGTTATTCCTTGCATTTACTTATTCAACAAATAATTATTGAGTGCCTGGTCCAGGCCCCAGGGTAAACAAAACAATCCCTTCTCATGGCTGAGATGCTTAAAGAATATTTGCTGAATTATTTAATATTCACTAAAATATAATGTCAAAGATGGCAGACACTCAATAACAGTATTTCATGTTCTCAAAGTATAGAGTCCCTGTGGGGATAAACCCTGATTGAATCTGAATTTTTCCATTTCCAACCCTATTTTGGCCTCAATGTTTAGGAAATACACATTCCAGCTCGTACTTACAAGATGCCTGTGACATCTTGGCATTTGAATTTACTGTTGAGAATATGCAGCATGTGCTGTGAATTTCTCAAGTGGAAGCCAGCACAGCTGGCTCAGATCTGAATACAAACAAATAAAACAATTTGGTGGGCAATGAAATGGGATGACAGGTGATAATCCTTGGCAAGGTACAGGTTACAAATGGGCCGATTAAGAATCGGCACTCTCTTCCAGCATCTCAGTTGAGAAACAGACCATTCAATGAAGATGATGCGAAATTTGATGTCTTACGGTTATAATTACTGTTCTCCTCTTCAAAATGTTATTTTATCTGCTTGTGTGATGGCTTGAATTGTGTCTTCCCCAAATTCACATGTTGGAGTCATGGCTCCCTGGAACTTGAGAATGTGAACTATTTCCTTATTTGGAAATGGGGTCTTTATGGAAGTAATCGAATGAAAGTGAGGTTATCAGGGTGGACGCTGATCCGACACGATCATTCACACACGCAGACTCACAGAGGGAAGCCGTGTGAAGAGACACAGGCAGAAGGTGGGCGTCTACAAGCCACCTTCTAGAACAGGTCTTTCCTCCATGGCTCCCAGAAGAAACTAACTCCACCGGCACCTGACACCTTGATTTTGAACTTCTGTCCTCCAGAACTCGGAGACAAGAAAATGTTTGTTGTGTAAGGGCCCCGTCCGTGGTACTTTGTTACACTACCCCAAGAAACTCACACAGCTTGGATCAGGTACTAATGCCTTTTGCTGAAGCTAGAATTTTAATTCATAACTCGACTCATGTTTTTTTTTTCCATTTAGGCAAATAATCTAGGGGGACCTGAAACTGAAATTTGTTCAGTTGAAGGGATTTCTCACCAATGCAAGTTGATTTTTCAAAACAACCACACACGCCCAAAAGGTAACTTTGCAAGAGCAAAATCATCAGCAGTATCTCACCTGGATTCGCAAGGCGGCTACTCGTGGGTCCAAGAATCTGATAAGGGTCTACGGCAAAGAGAAAAGCGTCAAATTCCAAAGACATAGTCGTGACTGGTATGACGTCCCTGCAGGCACAGTGCTGACCCCCTTGTGTTTTCAGATTTCAGAACTGGAAACGTCCCCCACACCAGAGTCACTAGCACCACTTCCTGTATGAGATGTCACATGGGATCTGAGAGCCGTTTCTGTTGGTGGCCAAGCTCAGATTTGGCCTGGGACTCCTGACGCCCAGCCCAGTGCCCCTCCATCCCAGGATGTAAATAGGGCAAACGTATGTTAAGTCCCCAGTGCCACGTTGGCTGTGTCGCTCAGAGCACGGGCAATGGCAACCGGCCACTGCGTTTTGCTTGGGACTTGGCTGATTTTGCTGCACGTGGCCTGTAAGGTGACATTAAAAGAGTTCATAGGTCACAAAAAAAAGCAGCCGGTGTCCAAGTGGAATGTTTCTTTCCATGTTTCTTGTATAGATGTTGGAAATGTTTTAACAAAACCTCGAGTCATCCTAATCAACTAGACTGATTATTTGGTCCCCATTTGATCTATGAAGCAATCGTAAAGAAGGCAGAGTAACATTAATTTTGTTCAGAAAATGACACTTTTGAGAAATAAGCTGCTAAACCTGTTCCTTCGCCAATGGACATTGAGATAATCCTGAAACATACCTAGCTGAGGACGCTGGTCTTCGGTTTTGGGCACTGTGGAAGGAGATGGCTGAGTCACTGAAAATCCGAAAATAAAAGAAAATTAGCTATATTTGACATATTTGATATATTTAATATAGTCTTTGATGCTGTCATAGCATCGTTCCATCAATTACGTAAACAAATACAAACGCTAAAGCAAAAAGAGATTTTTTTCAAATAACTTTAAGTTATTTGAAAAATTTATTGTACCCCACTTTTCCCAAAACCAAAAAAAAAAAAAAAATTGAGATGGCTTACAACACGGATTAAAATGAATCACAGTCTAAAATTAATAGAGACACTACTAGAAAAATGAAATCAAGCAAGGGATGCTTTTAAACATGGCGAAAGGTAGGAAATCCCTCAGGATCCAATCTGTCCTCACATCCCCCATGAGGCGTGCATTGGTGCTTGTTGAAATACATTATGTCAGTTATTTCTTTTTGTTAAGGAAGGAAGTATAACCCCAATAGAGAAAGGATGATTGCCTCTAAAGATCAGCTGCGCTTTGTTTCCAACGGGACACTTTATGTGGTGAAAGGCATAGATTAGCTACAGAAATTATTATTTACTCCAGCAAGAGTCGTCCCCTGCCTCGTGACATGCGGATTCAAGGCAGTGGGAGTCAATGTTATACCTTTCGACTGGGGCGTGGGGTGGCCGTGACCGGTCCAGGCTGATCTCCTGGGTGGTTCATAAGGTAAATCTGTAAAGACAAACAAATTGACTAAAAGACCAATAATGTATTTTTTATAATAGGTATTTTCTATGTTTTCAGTTTTGTGTTTCTTAGAATACTGTGCAGGAAAATCCAGTAATCCAAAGAAATTTTCAACCTGGATGCCGCTAGACTTGGGTTTTATTTACAAATTATAATTTTTGTACATTTTATTGATCTAACATTTTTACCCATTAATCTGAAAACCTCCACTGACAGATTCTCCCAGAGCTTGCTGCCTCTTCTAAGGGGACTTCCTATCATCAGAGGCCACGGCCACACTGGCAGTTTCTTACAATCTAATTTCTCCTACCTTCCCCCGGGGAAGACCTGTATCCATCCCTTCATTGTTGTGCTGACCCACCCAGAGCAGAACCTTTAATGAATCGACAAGTTCTTGCTCGAGGTCTGCCCTTTGAGCCACCAAATGACTTTCCTGTTCCTTTTTCTTCCTTGAAAACAAGTACTTCCTTCTTATCCTGGGATTTGCCAGCTGCCTCTCTTGGCCACTCCTGCTTTCTCCTTATAATCTTGTCTTTTCTATGCAAATCTTATCTTTCTATGCAAATATGTACCCTTTCTTCTTCTCCAAATTCAGAATTTCTCTAAAATAATTGCATGAAATAAACTGCAAGACTGAAATAGGAATGTTTCTGCAACATGTCAGCAACGATCATAAAAGCTTCAGTATATGCCGATAATTTTTTCTATATTCATAATGTATTGCCATTCATCCCATAAATCTCTATGCACTTTGCATATGCAAATTTAATAACCACTTCTGCATCCTCGGTGTGAGTTCTATTGATTATGAAGAGTCTAAGTCACTTTAAGTTTCTTTCAAATATATATTTCCAGAAACATTTTATGCGTGCTCGAACTGTGCATACATAAAGCTATTTCTACCTGCGATCTTATTACAGAACCATTTCGAAACTATGTTTTCTTGGATTGTTGGGTCTCAGTTCAATTCTGGGCCAACTGAAAGCCATAGCCAGATACTTCAGCAGATATTCTGCTGCCAGACACCTGGACATGACTTCAAAACCACACTTGGAGGGCAGGGCAATGTAATTCGTCTTAAGCTCTCTTTAAAGATATCATTTAACCTTATTTAAAATTGGCCATTTGGTGGGTCAGTCTTCAAAAAGCTGGACTATGTTGCAGAAGATACATCTCCTCTTATTTTCATATCCCAAAGAGAACAGCAATGAGATGCAACGTGAAATGCGACACAGAATTTCTGTAATTTATTTGGTGTTTGGCTACAAGTATGTCGCCCAGTGTGGTCGGTGAAACCCTACCCCCCAGAGCTCTGGTTGAGTCAGATCATTTTTCTTTTTAAACTGTGCCGTTGCTCACCACTCCCCGTCGGCTGGCACTTTTGCGTTTGGGGGCCACCCACCTTTCCCACCCAGCTCTTCAAAGTCTCACTTTTCTGGTGTTGGGACTATGCGTGGGCAGAAAATTTCTTTTATTTTTTTTAATTTTATTTTATTATTAGTTTCAAGTATACAATACACTGGTCAGACATTTATATAGTTTATAAAATGATCCCCCTGATTGCTCTTTCTCTCCGCTGGTCCTCAACTCAGCCATTACCTTAATGCTGACTCCATTCCCTACGCCGTGCTCCCCATCCCCGTGACCATCTACCAACTACTAATTTGTACTTTTTTAACCCTTCACCCCATTCCCCCAGCTCCCCAAACCCACTCCCCTCTGGCCGTCCCTAGATTGGCTTCTATATTTACGAATCTGGTTTTGATTAGTTTGTTCTTTTCGTTCTTAGATTCTGCATGTAAGTGAAATCATATGCTATTTATCTTTCTCTGACTAATTTCGATTTAGGTTTCTGGGAGCACTTTGCGTATGGATTCTCATCCAGTTGCATTTTGTCTGAAAATGGTTAGCCAGAGGTTCAATTTGAGAACTGTCGCAGAATGAAAAATCCACCAGCAAGGCAATCATAACAGCATCAAGCCCAATTCAGGAGCTGACAGGCCCATCAGCAAGGGATTTCTGTTTATCAGATGAAAAAGCAAGATAATACAGAAATACATTCTAGATTCTTGTTTCTCAGTGTGTGGTTCCCAGACCTGGGAACGTCTGGGAGCCTGTCAGAGACTCAGAATCTCATTCCAATATGCCGAATCAGAATCTGCGTTTTAACGAGATGCCGGGCGACTTGGGTGGATGCTGACCTTTGAGAAAGCCTGTTCTAGACAATTTCCACTGCTCTTTTCTAGAAATCTTTGTTCCTATAGATAATGAGTTCAGAAATACTGGGTGTGTCGATACAGAGAAATGTGTGCAAAGAGTTCCAGACTGAATGGTTTTACCTGAGGTACCACTAATGGAATTAATGGCAAGTGTCAGTAGGTTAGTCCGCTACTATTTTAAACACAAAAAAGTATTGCTCATAAAACAGGACTGGAAAAAATTAAACACCAAACTACTAATAGAAAAATATTTTGAAACTCTCCTCTCATAAAATCCTTCTTAGGGTGTAGAGCCATGTCCCATCCTTCTCTGAAAATAAGTCATAATCTAAATAACACCAAGTCTGATTTTTAGCCCAAATCTGAGATGTTACATGAACAATGACTAACATGTTCACAAACATATTGCCAGGGAAGATAAGCAGGCGTTTGTTTTCGTTCATAAAATTCTGGTCCAGTACTTCCTTATCAGCTGCCGATCACATGCTGTGGGCACCGAGCCCCCTCCTGTGGGAGGTGACATAGGAGCTGCCAAACTCAGCCTTGCTGAGACAGGAGACAACCAGCAGTAACCCCATCGGCAGCTCCCCTCAAAACAGAGCCAGTGTAAGTCCCCCTATTGGCTGCTTGAAAAATTATTACTCCACATATGTTTGTTATTTGTCTCTTCCTGATAGATCAGAGGACTCTTCATAAGGATATATTTCACATCTAATTTTTAGTGGCCATTTCCATACACTCTCCATTTCTCTTCTACCTTCATCCTCAAGGTAATTAAATCATATGCTGGGCAGAAGTTCCTGTGTTGGGGAAGGTGGATTTCTGGCATAGGTCTTGCTATTGTCTTTTCTGTAAAAGACTGTATTTAAAAACAGGACTTTATAAAAGCTATTTTAATAGGCAGCTGAGGGTTTCATAGGCAGATCTATGTGCCATGATCCAGACCCCAAAACATGAAGCTACAAATGGAGAGTTTGACTGGCATCGTCTCCTCTACACCAGGACCTTCGTTCACTGACGGGGAGCTGGGATCAGTCCTTGATTCTGAATGAGACGCCTCTCCACACCGGCCCCCTCCCGAGACAGCAGCGAATCAAGATGACATCCTCACTGCCCTTCCTGCAGAACTAAGGTCACCAAGTTTTATATTCTCCTTTCTCGAGCTTACTGAAAAAAAAGCCCTCTAGCCTTCTTGACGTCCACCAACCCACTTTACTTTTTAAAGGGCCAGAACTGAAATCATGGGAGAGTCACGCTCACTCTGTAGGGTCCATGCCGTGTTTACAAAGCAACTCCGGAGGTCCCTGGCTGGGCCAAATGGGAAAGGATGAGTCTCGCCTGCTCTCGATGAACTTGGATGCTAGTGGCAAAGACACAAGGACCAAGAGGGGTTGCCCAGAACCAGTCTACAAACCACTGCTTAATGGAAGGAAGTGTTAGCGTCGACCGTAACACAATTAAGTAGCTCTCCCCTTTTTTCTCCAGATCTTCCTAAAGTCTTCCAAAATCCTCTATCAGACGTGGAGGTCTGGGAGCCCCTTCTCGCCTAGGTCTGCAGATCTCTGTGGTTGTATTATAGTCGGCGGAAAGCAAGGAATGCGTGCTTAGCCTTTTGTTAAAAGAGAGGCTTTAGATGGCGCCTGCCCGAGGGGTGAGCGCATTCGCTGCGCTGTGTCCCTAGCACGGGTGACAGACACTAAATGGCACTGAGTTGCACACTCCAGCGGAAGAACACATTAAGATTCCCAGAAACCCTTGGAGAGCAGCATCCGAAACTTCAAAGTCAAGGCTACACTTTCGGGCTGACCTCTCCAGTCTCTTGATACTATCTAGATGCGTATCATGATGCATGGGTTGCCATGGCGATGGAGGAGGGGAGGATGGGGTTGCACAGTGTCCTCCTTGGCGCGCACCAGAGCTTTCGCACAAACCGCTCCTAAGATGGCAGGCGGGGTGGGGTGGCACATCACAAGGTCAAAAACCAGTCTGCAAGTTTCTATGAGTCAGACTTGTCTCTGTTTGTGCTACTTGAGACCTCAAGGGGCCATGGCTCTGGGCGTGTGTTTAGCAAAGGAGGAGGGTGCTTACAAGGAAAATAGAGAAAGGGTTTCTGACAGCAATAACTGACGGCATGAGCAACACGTGAAACACCATAAAATAACGATCATAACTAACAGAACGTAAAGCGATATGCCTATGTGCTAACACTTCATAAAAGCAGAGGAGAGATTGACCTAAATGCTAATTTATAACAAAGGGATCATGAAAGAGGGTACATTTTGAATCAGGACAATTCTGGAAAAGCAAATAGGACCACAGATGGGAAGAGAAGGGGTGAGCATGAACAAAGGAGTAAGTGTGGTTATCTGTAAGATCACTAAACGGCCTTGGCCAACTATGGGGTGACATCGAAATGACATAGCAGCCTGACAAGGCAAGTGTGAAGGGGACTCTGGGGTGGTTGATGCATCTGGGAGGTCCGTCCGCACAAAGAGGAAAAGGCGTCTTGGGGGCAGTAGACAGGGCTGGGCTACTTGACGCAGGAAGGAAGGGAGGGATGTGGGGTGGGAAGTATGGTGACAGAGCACTAGGAAGCGAGACTCGGCAGGATGACACGGGTAGGCGGGAGAAGTCCTCCGTTCCCATAAATGTGGGAGTAGAGAAACGGAGTGGACGTGAAGGTCATGACCCAGCCAACCAAGAGTGCAGGGGACATGAACTTGGATCTCTATCCATCCCCAAGAGCTCTAGGACCTCTCCCAAAGA